AACATGTGCATTGCGGTCATTTTAAGCCAAAGTTTGAGTCTCTAAGACCTTCAGAAGCTGAGATACAGATTTCCCATATATGCGCGTAATGAAAAAAATGGGCGTGGCCCCCACAGGGTTGGGAATAGCGACACAACATGTGCCGTTCGGTGATTTGAGTTAGAAATGACCTATTTAACCCGATTCAGTATCAAAAAACTCTATACATCGAAGTGCACACTCAACCCCTCCCTTTTACTAGAATATTGCTTATTTAGCACCAGGAAAATACACCAAAATGAGAGCAAATGGGGATTTTTAAAAATTCATAAAATGGAAAGCCAGATCCAGCCAGAACCATTCTTGGTTGCATTTGTTAGGAAATTGTCAGTACTTAAACATAAAAGTGGTTTTTAGTGGGCACTAGAAGGCCCTAACAACTATTCCTGGTCTTGAAGACTTGAAAAAAGGTGAAAAAGAGGGTCAAAATTTGCCTCCGCGTGTAAATTTTTCCTAATCAATTGGCATGATAAGGCCTATTTCACCAGAAAGATCATTCAAAACTGTTCTAGGAGGCATCAAAATAATCATTAAACCTTATTAGGCCTTTTTTCTGAGCCACAGGGATTTAGTGGCCATTTTCACTGCTTAAATTGATTTTTTTGGCAGTCAACAAAATTTCTATATTTGGCGCGCTGCCAAAATTCAGCATTTAAATATTTTCCAATTCGGTTTTTTGCACTTTATGTGTATATCTATTTACTAGGAGATGAGGTAAACAAAATGGGATTTAAGGAAAGTCGATTTTTGGCCTAAACTATCATGGTGGCCTGGCCCACTATATATATATAGCTTTCACATCACACATTCGTTCGTTTTGCAGGATTCACATTCTTGTGTCACATTTAAGTTCGGCTGTCCGTCTGATTATAAAGTTGGCACTTTATCTTTGACCCTACATTAAATATTTCTCGGAAATATTGATTCGTGCACTTTACATTATTTTTTCTGACACGTTTTAAATTCCAAGTCTATGTGTAACTATACTCTCTGATGGCCTTGGAACAGATTCTTGAGATTATAGAGATATGGCTTCAATTAAGGTTTGTTTATCAATGTATTAGGTATAGTTCTAAGTGAAAGAGACTTTTGCCCACTCTTCAACATTATTTTTGGACCAGCAATCTATTTAAAGATTGCGACAGATCTATTTAAAAACATGCTTCCGTTTAATATCGAAATCAGCTTCTGGCGATGATTTTAGTAAATTCTGTACGATCATATCATTTGGCATGATTGCCTGGCTCGGTGATTAACACGCAATTACATACATATTTATTGAGTCGTGCCGAGCGCCGGTGACACCGTGCCAAACCAATTATAAAACCAACCTGGTAGATTTCACCAAATCTGTTAGCATAGCTTATTACTGAGTATTCATGAATCGTATTTACATTAAATAAGTGTAACCTATATCATATATGTCCTAATTTTAATTAAGTCTGAATAGACAGATTGAAAGACAATTCGGAAAATCGTGGTGACTTAATGAATGTGAAAAATCAAAATTCTGCAACTTAATCTGGGCAATTGTAAATGTAATACTCGAACACAAACGGCAACTGATGTTCTAATCAAATCGGTTATCACATGTAACGATCGAAAGACGAGATATCCAAAAACGAGAAATCTAAAAACAAGAAATCTAAAAACGAGATATCCAACGAGGGAGATCAAAACGATTGTGATCATGTAAAAGCTCAATATAAAAACAAAATCAGCAGGTAACTAGGTAAGGTGACAAGATTTCTCACAACCATCGAAAGCAAAATTATACTACTTTTGGATTCCTAATTTATTTCTATTTTTACATTATATCGGTCAGTAAATTCCCTCAATTTTCTATACAACATCTCTTCACTCGTGATTGAATAGTTTGACGATTATATAAGAATTGTTGTGCCCAATCTGTTGAATTCGATGTGACAAAGGCTCAAATTTTTGTGTTGGACCGACAATAATCATTACGGAGATTACAATTACATACGGAGATTACAATTCTCCGTGAGCTGAACGTGCCGACCTCTCATTTCTGTAAACCTCTGATGGTAAGAATCAAGACAATACATGATGTGAGCATTCCTCCTGATCGTTCAAGATCTCTCTGATCATCATATTAGAGACGTTTGGTTTGTATGCAATTGGGTCATTCGTCGAACTTTTGAGATCTTTACAGATTAAAACTCACATAATCGTGATGTCATCAATTTCCATTCGAAGAAACATCGAGTAAAAGTGCGTGTTGTCATTAAGTACAAGCGTAGCGGATGGAACGCCAAAATTTTAATGTTCAACACTAACAGTTTTCTATTGTATTCGGGCTAAGTGGCTTTCTCAAAGAATATAAGATCTGTATACTGTTAGTGGTAGTGGGGAGGTGAGCCATATTATTCTGACACAAACAGCGGTAAACCTATCAGCTTCCAAGCATTGACCAATCAAAACCAAGAAGCAAAAAATATGGTTCACCTCCCGCCCAGTATATTCGGATCCATTGAGGTTCATGGTTTATGGACAGTGTCATAGAAATAATAGGATATTAAAATTTGTCGAATAAATTGGTTTTTTGTGCCCCGATGATGCAATATATCAAAAGTAGATGATGCAGTATTATATCAGAAGTCAAAAGTTGAGATGTGTGTAGCTGGTTTCATGCAATCAGTGCTGAGGTTGTATCCACATTCCACAATAGGTCTGTTTGAGCTGCTCCAATATATTGTAAAGCTTCGTGGGCAGTCCTGTTTCTTCTCCTCACAAGCATGCTGCGCCGGGATGGAATGATGATTTATGTTGAAACTTTTGTAATGTTAACCTCTGAATCCGGTGCTATTGTATCAGTATTTAACTCGTCATGGTCTGGTGTAAGTGAGAGAATTGTGGAAATAACTATGTACCAGATTTTAGAAATTTCTTTGATTACATTTTTGTACTATTTTGGATATTGTAGTTCTTATACTCATCATCGAGATCTCACTATTACCATCATCTATAAATCCTTGTTCAAATTTTTACTGATGTCAAAAAATGAATGATATGAACATGAACGGCTTTAAAGTAGCTTTAAAGAAGGTGGTCTGTTGAATTTTATGGCACATTATAACTAAAATTCATTTTGGATTTTGGGAGGCTGATAAATTTTAGGCGGCTGGGTTTCATTGACCAAATGACATGCTTGCAATAAAAATTAATTAACTTCAATAATTTATACAGAGAAAGGGACATGCTCACATCTTTATCTATTCAAAGTAATTAGTTCTCCACAAACATCCTCATTCCAGTGTTTCAATTCTCAACCAATTGTTTCCCTCTCCCACATTTCTGCGAAACCTCTCAATACTAATAGAGTCAATGTACAGTACATGTACGTAACGATAGGTTAGGAGGAGTGTGTTTGCAAATACATCTGACAGCTTGCAGCAAATAGCTGTGCCACCTTCTTTCAATTAACCACGTCTATAAACAATATTAACATAATATCAAAGCAGGTATTTTCGTAGCTTATCCGAGTGAGTCTCCAAATGAACTGTTATATCTTTATTATGTAACAAAAACTCCAATAACCAAGATGTTTAGTCGGACTGTTGAAAAGGAAACTATCAAATTTGTATATTGTTCGCTTGCAACACATGTTAACATGTAAATTTACAGTACATAATTTCAGCAAACGACCGTGATAAGAATTTTGAAATGGCCGGGACCAGGATTGATCAATGTTGACCGGGACCGGGATTTTTTATCAAATTTTAAATTGGCCGGGATCAGTCAAATTTGACCGGGACCGGGATTTTAGCTCTATTTGGACACAAAATTTAGCGGAATCAACTATTAGTGCGGAAGTGATCCATGTTTAAGATGGCAATTTGTTAAAGATTACAAATTTGTTGAATATACAAATCTTGATAGAAGTTGTATCTAAAATCCCAGTAAAAATCCCGGTAAAATTGGTATTTTGGCTGGGACCGGGATTTGGTATAATTTATAGTAAAGGTCCAATCCCGGCTACGGACGGGCCCCGGAACCGGGATCACGGTCGATCTCTGGTACATTTAGGCATATCTTATTGGACAACTTTTCGTACACACGTTGTTTAAAAACATAATAAATATTAACATATTAGTATTCTGCAAGTTTCAGCTCACACACATGGCTGGCAGTGAAATTAAGCAAGTGCGACATGACACTTGACTTATAGAGCTGATTGACAGTGAATCTGGGTCACTGCAAACACAGCTTTGTACAATTCCATACTTTCGCAAAACAAACGTGAGTACCAACAAACATGAGTTAATATTTAACCACTTTATGTGATATATTGATAATTAATCAATAGACCATTGTTTTTTATTTGTATTCTGTAAAATGTGTGATGTAACATCGTGGTGTAACACATTACACTCGATATTTGCCCAACTTTTCATGAGATCAATCCTAAGTGAATTAACCTCATGTAACTTTAAGTTGGCCCAGTGGCCAGTACCCTAAGTTTCAATCATTGATTCAATAGCTCATGCTGAAAGTTTTATTCCAATTGAGCAGAAAACGAATCACCAATAATTGATAATTAATTATATTCCCCTATCCATTTGACTTCCCATATTGTAAGTTTGACCTAGTTTGAAAACATACAATCATGATCAGAATCTGAGAAACAAACAGAGTACGATTAAGTTATTTCTAATTTGATTATTATACCTTAGATAAATACTAGAAAAATAACGATATGCTACGTGGTAGATCAAGAAACTGTGACGAGTCCAGAACCTTCTCCACCAGTATCAATAAACTGCAGGAACAACATAGCTAGGGGATTGAAAGAGTTAGGATCACGCAACTATAATAAGTATAAAACATTGAGTGAACTATAATAACTATAAAACATTGAGTGAACTCATAATTGATTATTTTTCCAAGAGTGGAATTGAAGATGATAGTATGAAAGATTGAAAGATTAAAACACATAATTTTGCATTGCAACAGATTGATCTAGTCAAAATTAAACATTTGCATACATCTACAAATCATAAAACGGCTGTGTCTTTGACCAAAATGGACTTGTAACAATTTTTAACACAAGCGTTCCAGTAGAAAAAAATACCAAAAAATTCAATTCCATTCTGGATTCAGTAGAAATAAATATTTTTTAAATATGATGCTAAGGTTGTTGAGTGCAACCGATTCCGAAACAAAAAGAGAGGTTGAACCCGCAACCACTCATAATCTATTCTTAATTTTTTAATAATGAAAAATAGTTAAGTTCAAGACTATGATGAAGTATTTTAAGTATGAAGATGAAATCAATCCTCAATCTTAATTAGCATTCCAAATTAATTTAATACCCAAATTCGTATAATTTTATAACTACAATTAATCTATTATATAATCACATGTGTGTAGAAGCAACATAAAGGAAATCATAGAATATGTGAACTTAATGTTACAAAGAAAATGTTATAGGCTTTACTATAAATAGCTTTGAGAAAATTATGATTTCATCATCATGACAAAACATAATTCTATACACATATACATCAAAGAGTGGTAAAAATTATGGATCCTTCTAATTTAAGAAAAATAAGCAGATATGAGCTGTTTGTTAAATGTTAATGTATGCAATTTCCATCAAGAGCCAGATATCTATGGCAAAAGTTAAAGCCTTAATTTGAGTGCAACATGACTGGAAAATCGGAGTCAATTGTCCCTAAGAAATTTTATAACAAGGAAGTAAAAAAAGGTTTAATTTTACATCTGGACGGTTTTATTTGAAACAGCATTTTGAAACAGCATTTTGAAACAGAAGCACATTTACATAAGCATCGTTTGACTATTTATCAACTAATTTAGGTATACACACAATTTGCAAGCAACAGGGCACAGCTAAATTATAAACAAATTACAAGATGGTGCAACAAGAATTTGTTGATTTAGCTGTTTTATAAAATTGCTTTGATGTGAGGCTAAGATTCTCTGATTTTGCCACTATATCGTCTAATTTTTCACCCCTTTCTAAAACTTGTTCAATAGTGTTGTAAAGTATAACTTTGGTTTCATCTAGATCACCCTGAATCTGAGTAATGCTATCAGCCTGTCTAGGATCTTGAAACAGATCAAATTGCTGTTTGATCGCGGGAAGCTCAGGAAATGGTACACCTCGCCACGTGGATTTCGGCTGTTGCTTTAAAAAATCGTCCAATGATTTTAAAATAAAGGTATATGCCACCCGTTGAGGATATTCTTCGTCACAAATGAGCACACCTCCTATTTTATCTGACTTAACCAAAGTATGACAAATGTATTCCTTTTCTTTTACACTTTTGCGCTCCCCAGGGGCAGTCCGATCAGCCATGAACTGTGCAGTAAATTTAAGAAACTCAGTCACAGAACTCCTCTGAAAGTATCCAAACTGTGTAACATCAACGATGGACATGAGCTCCACTCCTTTCTCTGCCTCCTTGTTCCATATGGAAAGAGAAAGGATCCTCATAACTTGTTTTTACCCTAAAAAGAGATTAATTTGTGAAATGACTGTCATCTTTAAAATTGAGTGATGTTCAGTTTTATACATACAGCACAACCGTGCAATTAAAATTGTTAATGATGTCAGCCGAGTACCATCATGGGGAAATCTCACAAAAACTGTGTATAGCCACAAAGTGCAATAAAACATAAAGATAAGAATGTGCTCAATCATGTGTCAACCAAACGGATTAAATTTAAACCCAGTGTTTTTTATTTAAAGACCCTGGGTTGAAGATACGGTCGCACTAAATGGTAGTTCCGATTTGCAACAATTAACTTTTGAAGTCGACAAGAAATTAAAGTGAATGTGTTTACTTTCAAATGAAGAAACAGGATTTTAAAAGCAAAAGATGCTGCACCTTCAAGGGCTTGCATGAAAACATAGGTGACTAGTCAGAATAACAATGAAACTAATAAATCAATGAAACTAATAAATCAATGTTTTAGCTCATTTTACAAAGTCAAATATTTAAAACAATTAAAATTGTATAGTGCTCAATTTGTAAATGACTAGTTGATCTTTGCTATTGGAAGTTTGTCAAGGACTGGCAGCTAGCGGGGCAAGGAATGCACGGGCTTAGGGGCTTTTGTGCACACCAGAACACTAGCTCGGTAGATTTTTGGAAACTAGAAGGACTGAAAACTAAAATTGTTTTTGATGGAGGCTGAGGCATGTTTTTGAGAGGGACGGTATAATAGCTTGTGGTAACAACTGGCCTTTACTTTAATAGGATGAAGTTTTAGTTTTAGGACAGGAAGAAGGCATTAAGAAGATTTGCTCTTTGTTTACAAGGCAGAATATAAGCAATGTTGGTTATAATATGTATGTTGGTTATAATATATGTAAGCCCAGCCTGTCATATATCCTTTTCTCTAGATTTCCTATATTAGGATATATCTTTCTGTAACCCCATGTTTTCTTTAAGCATGGTTTTTTTTATATGACAGACTCTAGCTTAGAGACCTGCTAGAGCTTACGATCCTTGACGGAGCTTTCTTGGTGAGTTACTTTCTCTCCGTCAAGCGTTTCTGGTTTTAACCCTTTTACTCAATATAGAAGTATTGTGAGTTATTCAGATTGACTAAAGGTATTATTTACTATACATTGATATAGATTATTTCAGCTTGGTTATACGATTACTGGGTTTCACTGCTTATTACATACAAACACAGCCCTGTTACTGTCATGACAAGGTGATAGAATCAATACAAAATTCTTGTATGTGATCAATTCCGGGATGGACCTACACTTCAATATCACGTATTGCTCACTCGTTGTATGAAACAATACATGATACTGAATAAATAAATAAATATATAAATGGAAAGAGACCTATTTCCAGATCGTATTCTTGTGTAAATTTGTATTGATCCCGTTTGGGGGGGGGGGGGGGCCAACCATATTAAAGTATATTAAAATGTAGGATTTTTCCCGATTTTGACCCGGGGATATACTTTAATATACTTTAATATACCTACAATATACTTTAATATATCCCTATCCTTGGAGGCCTACATCGAAAATTGTTACCCAAAATAAGCTTGAAATGCAATTCTTAATTGATTCCAAAAAGTTCTTGAAAAAATATTGAAAACTGATGGAGTTATTTCAATTTTAATGAAGTCATTTTGGCTAGTATTCCGAACAGAGATATTATGTGCAATTTTCCCAATTTTGTTCATGGAGGTCTTTTTACTTAGTATCCACTATATTCAACAAACACTGAGTTATATCTTTCACATAGAGTTAGTCTCATTAAAAAATATTGAAATTTTATCGAATTTGGGCAAAAGCGAATTTGGGCAAAAGCGTATGCCCAAATATGGGCATATTTTTTAAAGCTCATAGCTCAGCCAATTTTTGACCAATCTGGATGGAAATTCATGTACTAGTCCTAAAACAGGCTTATCTTGCGAATCTGAGTGAAAAATATAGTTCATCATGTAAATCTTAACGAAGAATATAAATCTTCTAATTGTAGGTATATTAAAGTATATTAAAATGTAGGATTTTTTCCGATTTTGACCCGGGGATATACTTTAATATACTTTTAATATGGTTGGGCCCCCCCCCCCCCCCCCCCCCCCCCCCCCCCCCCCGTTTGATGCGACAAGGAAAAATGCTCTTATAAGGAAAGGAATTACTCAACGTTTCAATGTTACAACATAGTATTCATGATCTCAAATTATTTGTTATATAGTGGTGTTGAAAGTATTAAAACTTGAGATCATGAATACGATGTTGTAACATTGAAACGTTGAGTAATTTCTTTCCTGATAAGAGCATTTTTCCTTGTCGCATCAAACGGGATCGATACAAATTTACACAAGAATACATTGCAAACAGATGATGGTTCTGAGACCAAGTCTCCTTCTGAAACGGCAGAAGTGTTAGCTGATTTTTTCCAGTCAGTTTTTAAACCTGAACCTTTTGGCCCTCTGCCTCAAAATTGTTATACAGAATGTAATAATGATTACTTCTGGAGTAAATTTATGGTGCACCCTGAAAGTGTTGCCAAGATTTTGGGATCACTAGATATTAGTAAAGCTATGGGTCCTGATGGTGTTCATCCTAGACTCCTGAGGTATTTAAGTGAGAACAGTTCCTTTGTGGATGCGGTTGTGTTGCTGTTTAGTGCCTGTGCTTCTGAGCAGTATATTCCTGAGGTATGGAAAACTGCCACTGTTGTGGCCTTGCACAAAAAGGGGTCAGTACATAGTCCTAATAATTACAGGCCTGTGTCACTGACTTGTATACTATGCAAAGCCTATGAGAAGCTTCTTAGGGAGTATATTCTCGACGGTGTTGAACAGGTGCTTAGTAGCACGCAGCACGGCTTCATGAAGGGTCGGTCATGCTTATCTAACCTACTGGAGTCTATTGACGCTGTCAATGACTTGCTGGCTGAAGGTGGCTGTGCTGATATATTATACTTTGATTTCTCTAAGGCCTTTGATAGCGTACCACACCACCGTTTATTAGTTAAATTAAGAAATGTTGGTGTTCCTGAGGAGATAATTGGTATTTTAGAAAACTTTTTAGTAGGGAGGTCTATGAAAGTTAAAGTAGGAGATGAATTTTCTGAGATTAAGTATATACTTTCAGGAGTGCCCCAAGGCAGTGTTTTGGGACCATTGCTCTTTCTTTTATTTGTAAATGATCTTCCAGAAGGAATCAAAGCTATCATCAAACTTTTTGCTGATGATGTTAAAATGATTGTTAATCCTTTTATTAATCTAACAGCTGATTTGAAGTTGCTAGAACTTTGGGAGTCTCGTTGGTGTTTAAATTTTAATGTAGATAAGTGTATGGTCATGCAAATTGGTTCTTGTAATCCTAAGAATCAGTACTTGTTTGGTGGTGTGCCTTTGAGATGTGTTGAAAGCGAGAAGGACCTTGGAGTTGTCTTTAACACCAGCTTCAACTTTGAGGGTCATGTGAGAAAGTGCATTGCTAAAGCTAATAGTACCATTGCCTGGCTTACAAGAAATATTATATCGAGGGAGAAAAGCGTTATGCTGGGCTTGTATAAGTCTTTAGTAAAGCCTCACATAGAGTATTGTTCACAGGCATGGGCTCCAATGGCTAGGCATGGAAACTGGTCACTGATTCTTGAATTGGAAGGTGTTCAGAGATCGTTCACCCGTATGATTGATGGATTGGGACTCATGACGTACAGAGAGAGACTGGATAAGCTAAACCTCACAACCCTGCTTGAACGCAGGGTTCGTGGGGATCTCATTGAGATGTTCAAGATCCAGGAAGGCTTTGTGGGTTATGGTTCCGATTTATTTGGTCGTTCTGGTAGGACCGTTGCTGCTAGATCAAAGACTCATAGATTCACCACAAATGAGACTGATTTCTTTGCCCAAAGGGTCTTGCGCTATTGGAACAGTCTACCACCACTTGTGAAAGCTAGTGAGTCAGTTACTGGTTTCAAGAGGGGATTAGATGCCTTTCGGCTTCATGGATATCGAGCTAATAAGCTTGGTCATCACTGGGAACTTTCATATGACATCTTTGATAGGATAGATGTGTCTGTGTCTAATAGGAATAGTTATGTAAGTTATATGAAAGAGAATCCATTGGTAGCTAAGAGGAAGAAGGTTAATATCAAAGGTATTTAGTTAAATTTTTTAAAAGTTTGTAATTATATGGTTTCAAACGTAAAGTGTTCATTTTCTATGAATTTCATTTTGAGATGCCCAGAGAGGCATTATTTATAATGTTATGTTATGTTATGCAATCATGCGACTCATAAACAATGCTCCAATCCGGATTTTACATCTTTCCAGATCGGTATCGTTAAGATATAATCAAACGTTGTACCTCAAATATTAATAAAAGAATATGAATTTCAATACAAAAGGTTTCATCTAGTCCAATCGCCACGCGTGGATAAATATGCACTGGTATAAAGAGGGATGTGACAAATATTCGAGATAACGCTCGATTTGTTAAGTATGATATGATATGAACAGCAATAAAAATGTACAGTCGTGCAGATGTGCGCGGCGTAATACGATGAATAATTTGCGTCGCGCTTCCAAACTTTTACTTGTTAATACATTCATAAATTCGATGAAAATAAAATCTGGTTGATCATTATTTTGATTTATTTCTGATGATAATGAATAAATTTAGGGTCTGCACTTGCACACATTTCAACAATTATAATTTAATATTTTATTAAGAAAAACAAAATTTGTATCACGTCTGACGTCTGACGTATTAAGACCCCCATCGTTTACTCTATCCACAATCCAAAACCATATTAACAATTGTATCACGTTGTGACCCCCACGGTCGTTTCACTATGGTGTCCTGACGATACAGGGGGAGCCGCGCACTTCGTGCGCGGCGGGTCATACAACGTATGACAAATTAACAATGGACAAACTTTGCTTCACGCGTTGCACAAATTTAAATTGCGGTCGTGTAGTCATTTGATCACGGCAAATAACCAGAAAATATAGTT